AAAAAAAAAAAAAAAAAAACTTTTCTTGTTACTATTTTTTAAAAATAGATTCTCTCACTCTCTCTCTCTATATATATAGGGTTTTGGTGAGAATAGTTCTTTGTAACACACACCCCACACAGTACACACACTTCAGCTCGCGCACACACACACCCCCGCCGGTCTCCCGCCCCCAGCCACCGCCAGCACCGCCGATTTCAGCCTGCCATCTTCTTCCTCAACATTTGCACGCACAAACACACTTCAAGACATACACAATAGAACATACGCACAGCCGGTTCTCGCCATTCGCCGTCGGAACCGCCGCTGCACCGCCGTCGGAACACAGCCGCTAGACCTCCGTACGCCGCCTCCAACAATCCAATTACTGCTCCAATCAACGCCTCCCTCCGCCCTCTACCTCCGGTCAGACCTGCGAAAAAAACAGAAATTCCGGTTGCAATTCAAATCACCGCCGAGCACATCCGACCTCGAGCGTTTGGAGGTCGAAGGCCGCACACGAAGAAACTGACGCCGATGAGCTCTGATAATTCCGGCAAGCACAGCAATTTACCGGCTAAATTGGATGAATACAAAATCAAACATAAAATTGATGAACAAAATCTAAAGTTAACTCGCGAGGATGTAGCCGACCGTGAGGTCTTCGCGTGGCTGAGAAGGTCAGCGGATGCTCGGTGGCTGGCAATGTTTTGGGAAGAAGACGGAACAGTCGATCATATCTTGTTTGGGAATTTAATGTGGATTTTGATATTAATTTTATCTAAATCATCATTAAGTTTTTAGGGTAAAATGTATAATTTGACTAAAATTTCAATAGTTTTGATCAGTTCAATTTAGCCCATAGGTAAAATTTGTAATTTATATAAAATGTAAGAAAAAATATTATTTTTTATATATATTTTTTAAACTTTTATACATATATACCTATCATATTTTTTTCAACCAAAAATAATATAATTTATTAAATAAAAATATTAAAATACTAAATATATTTATACAAATAATTGTGTTTCGAGTGCACATTATGATAGACGAATTGAATATTAGTGACTATTAGATTTCACTATAGCAAACGAAACGTACACACAAAGTTTGGGATTGAATTTTATATCTTGGTTCGATTATTTGTTTGTGCTTTTAAGATTGTGATTATCGGTGTGATGTCTACTTTATTATTTAATATAGTCAAACCGATCGAGCTATATAAAAAAAATATTACTTTGTTATAAATATTTATATATGTATACATTTTAGGTCTTTATAATAAAAAAATAATATAAAATATTGTATAAAAATATTAAAATACTAAATGTATTTTTGTAATATAAATTATAAGCTATTTAGATTATTTAGGACAACTTAGGTAACCGATCAAATAAACCAAATATTTCGGTTTTAGTTGGGTTTGGGATTAATCAATTAAAAAAATAGCTTCATTTTGAATGCACATTAGTAATAGATCAATTGTACATTAGTGAATACTGAATTGCACTATAGTGACCAAAAAAATGACCGAGCCAAATCCGTGTATTCGAATTTTATATTTTGGTTCGATTATTTGTTGTTATTTTTAAAGTTTTAGTTTATTAACTAAAATATTAAATATATTTTTATATTATAAATCGATTACCTCGTTTTGTTTTGGTTGGTGTTGGACGTATCATTAAAAAAATATTTGCACTCGAAGTGCACATTAGTATTAGATGTATTGCACATTAGTGACTGTCATATTGCACTATTTATTTATATATAAGAAGTATTAAAATAATAAATATCACCTCCCCTATATATAATTTCTGAATGCGCTGAGCCTACGTGACTTCTTCTGGTGCTTCGGAATTCAACTTGACAAAGAATCATGCTCCGTAATTAGGTTTGGACAAATAATATTGATATATTAATAATTAATAATCTAGGTTCGGAATTCCATAAATATTATTTAGCTAACTTAGGTATTTTAATGTCACTTGTACTAATGTAACACTTTATTTTTTTGTAATTTTACATAGTGAGACACTAAGTGACTAATATATCATTGACTTTTGATTTGTTTTCTTAAATTAGATATTGAATTGTAAATGTATTTTAAAAGTTGATAACTTTTGTATTTCTTATCGGCTTACATAAATATGATATATCAAACTAATCATCTTTTAATGATCTTCGATTTGACATCATATTGTATATATGAAATAAATAAATTATATTTATCTCTATAGTAATAGAAAATAACAATATTTATTAAAATTCATTAGAAAAATAAAATTATTTCTCAATTGATATATTTAAATTAAGTCGCAAAAAATAACGTGTCATACTAAATATATAATAATATATATATATATATTTTTATAAAATATTTATTTAAATTTTCAACTATTTTTTCTCATTAATTTTAGATTTTAAGAAAAATTAGCAAACACCCGTGTAATACACGGGGATTGTACTAGTACTTTTGTAATAGTAAATTATTCCGTTCCTGCGTCCGTTCCTGATTTTGTACTCTACAAACTTACCTTATATAATGAACATCAGTCCCCGCATGTGCAGCACGAGGGCATTATTTATTAAATACTATAACATATTGAGCCTATTTCATTATCTTTCTTCTTTCTCTTACTCTCGGCCGAGTCTTGGCTTTTCTTTTGTGAATGGCGGCTTCACTGGAAACTCAGCACCCAATTAAGGCTCTTGGATGGGCTGCTAATGATCCATCTGCCACTTTCACTCCTTTCAACTTCTCAAGGAGGTAATACAAATATTTCTTACATCAACATTTTCAACTTTTCTTTTAACAATTTTAGTTTATCATTTATATAATACAATTAACACTCTTAATTGCTCTTCATTTAATTAATAAAAAAATGGTGTGCATCATTGGGAAGCTTAAAAAAAAAAAAAAAAAAAAAAAAAAAANNAAAAAAACAAGAGATAAGAAAATGGAGTTTTTTCAATACAAGACTCAAAATATGAGTAAATTTTCAAAAATAGTTGTCTGAAAGATTTGTTTTTTCAATTCGGGACTTAAATGTTATAAAAATATTGAGTTAAATTATATAATTAACAAACCTATAATTTGCTCGCATAAAAGAAAAGATTGATGTTTACTCGCATAAAATAATAAGTAAACATTTGCATAATATTTAAAAAAAAAGAAATAGATGATAGCAAGAAAACCGAGCAAGAGCTTCATACTTTTCTTAATTTTCTACAACAATCTCGTATTTTCCTTAATTTTCTTTACTTTTTTTTTTATTACTTTGTAACAGATTTGGTATTTTAAAACTTCAAATTAACTCTCAATTTAATGTTTTTATGGGTTTGTTAATTCTAGGACTTAATTTGATAGTTTTATAACATTTAAGTCCCGAATTGAGAAAAAAATCTTATAGGCTTCGATTTGATAGTTTACAGGTCAAGTCCTGTATTGAAAAAATTCCGATAAAAAATGGTATAGTATAAAGATTCAATATACCCCTATTTGATAATCAAACTCATGTTATGATTAATGTTTTGAATATGGAGACAATTGCATTGTTAAGTAACTCTCTTATTTTCTTATTTTCCTATTTAATTTAACGATCTCACATCGGGTCTGAGTCGTCAGATCAACGCACACCTGCAAGTTGTGTTGATTTTAGGAGTAAAATTTTGGACTTATTGATTATTACTAACTAGATTTCCATAACCTGTGATTACTTATGTTCAATTAGTTAAGCATTTTACAAAGTTTTGTTGTAATTAATGTAATGTGTTCAGGGCAACTGGTGAACTTGATGTGCAGTTTAAGGTTTTGTACTGTGGTATTTGCCATTCAGATCTTCACTTGGCCAAGAATGAGTGGGGATTCACTGCTTATCCCTTGATACCTGGGTAACTTACCTTTAAACAATGTTCTATACACATATATAGGACCCTTTTCCTTTTTTTTTTCTTTTTTTTTTTCAAAATATTTAACTACAAAAATTCAGTTGGGTTTTCTAAAAACTTTTTAAGACTTCGTAAATGTATTTTAATTTAGATTTTTCAAGACTTTTAAAAGTCTTGAGTTATTCGTCTCGGATTTTAAAAAATCATGAGGTATTTAACTTATTTGAGACTATGATTTGTTAAGACTTTTTAAGATTTGCTGGGATATTTAAAGAAAAAAGACATACGAAATTTCACTCTAAATCCGACATCCGAATTTAACATTTCACATAATTCTTCCAAAATTTGGAAATCTTAAAGAATCCGAAATCTCAAAAAGTCACTAAAATGTAACTCGAAATCCTAAACGAATACACTGCCCTAAAATTTGTGTACTCCGGATGCAGTCACGAGATTGTAGGGGTCGTTACAGAAATAGGCGCAAAGGTAACCAAATTCAAAAAAGGGGACATAGTCGGAGTCGGGTGCTGGGTGGGGTCGTGCCGCGAGTGTGAGGAGTGCCGTAAAGGCGAAGAAAGTTACTGCCCGAAGATATTAATGACGGTGAGCGGGACCTACTTTGACGGGACACCCAATTTCGGTGGCTTCTCGGACATTATGGTTGTGGACGAGCATTTTATAATCCGGTGGCCCGAGAATTTGGCACTCGACAAGGGGGCCCCACTGCTGTGTGCTGGGATCACCACATACAGCCCAATGAAGCGGTTCGGGCTCGACAGGCCCGGGATTAGAGTGGGTGTCGTGGGCCTTGGAGGCATCGGTCACCTCACGGTCAAGTTTGCTAAAGCGTTCGGGTGTAAAGTGACTGTCGTGAGCTCGTCAGTTAATAAGAAGGAAGAGGCAGTCGAGCGTTTTGGGGCCGACGAGTTTTTGGTCAGCACTGACCAGGAACAGATGCAGGTAAGTATTAATTTTTTATTTTATTTTATTTTTTTTTCAAAATTTTATGTTGGTGTAATTTATATAACTTGAATATTCACTTGACTTTATGCTTATATTATTATAGGCTGCATTTGGGACCTTGGACGGTATCATTGATACTGTCTCGGCAAATCATTCACTTTTACCGTTGGTAAATTTGTTAAAACCTCACCGCCAACTGATATTAATTGGAGCTCCACCTAAACTTGAGATTCCTATCTTTCCCCTGCTTATTGGTAAGCCTTTTAGATTCAAACTTACTATCTTTTCACTGTGGCTGATTTCAAAAATTTACCGCGCATGTTAAATAAACGGCAGGGGGAAAGGCGATAGTGGGGACAGCGGCCGGAGGAATAAAAGAGACGCAAGAAATGATCGATTTTGCAGCCGAGCACAATATACTGCCTGACGTCGAGATAATTCCGATGGATTACGTGAACACGGCCATGGATCGTCTTGAGAGAGCTGATGTCAAGTATAGATTTGTTATCGACGTTGCGAATTCACTCAAGAAACTGTAATTTATGTTAAGGTGGCTCAGGTGTGATCTACACAAATTCGTGTTTGAACAAAATTTCAATAAGTTTATGGGTTATTTTTTTCTTATGACTTCTCTGCAACTTGAGTCCCTATAAATATTAACTTTTGAATGTAAGAGAGCCCATTTGCTTCAAGGGATTGGGATAAGACTAGATTAATACGTAGTTTGTGGATTGTATTGTGTACTTCATGTTTGTTATTTGTGATTGGCAATTTCGATGTGTGTGTTTATGTGTAAATCAATAGTTAAAATCCATATGGGAGCCGTGCCCATGTGGGTAGCATCGAATTTTTCGAGATTTTGGGGTGTTTGTGAATGGTGTTTGAATAATTTAATTAGATCTCAAAATTTTAATTGTTGAATTACTATTAAAAACTTAGGTGCATCGTGGCTGACCAAAAGATAGCATTGAAGCTATGGCTACACGTTTTAGAATTACAAAAAGCTAATTATTTTCAATTCATTTAGTATTTAGTATTTTTTTATTTCTCAAACGAAAGATAATATTATAAATCAAAATGTACAAATGTGCGAATATACAGCCCCTACCTGAACGAAACAGCCAACAACTGAAAAAGTGAGAGGACATACAAGAAGAAAACCTAAAATACTGACACTAGCAAAGTTAGAATAATAATACTCGCAACTACACTAATCCAACTACACAAAAAAAGGAAACAACTAAAAAAGATCCCACCAGGATAATACTCGAGTGTCCGATCCCAACAGGATAATAAGTTGACACTCGGGCGCACTAAGACCTAATGGCCCAAACCAAAAACATAAACTTAAACAACATAAACACGAACACAAAGTTAACAAACTAAGATAGAGGGACCTAATCTACCAACAAACAAGACCCTTCCCCAGCGGGAAAGCCAAACACAGCACAAGACACCAGCGAAATAAGGACTAAACATCCCATAGCTTGACCTGAAATCCAGAACGCCACTCCCGCCACTGCCTAGAAAAGGACGAGTCCCGAAGATCGAACCACTCCAAGGATGAAGTAGACTCATAGCCAGAGGAGTATCGACCAGCCCTCCCACACACCAGCTACCCGAGACCCGGCCAACACCACTTCCCTAGGCTCGGGTGTGCCGGCATCCCAAAGCCACAACACCAGCAGAATAGGGACCCGAGAGCAAGAATCGATCCACCTCAGCCCCCTGCCGCCGCAACTCAAACGAGCCGAGCAGCCACTGCCGCACCCAACACCCCAACCACACACCTCCTTTCAGCAATCGGACCCAAATCGGAGGAAAAGATGTCAAACCTGCCATCGACCACCATACTGAGACAGAGCCGACCAAAGGACGTCGGGAATCCAAAGTCGGGGCTGAGAATCAGACACAAATCGACAAAGGAGCCGTCGAACCCTCCGTCGACAACCGTACAGGGACGGAGCCGACCAAAGGACGACGGGAATCCACCGTCTAAGCCGAGAATACTTGGAGGGGAGCACAATTGGAGCAGGGCCGCGCAGCTACAGGCCATCTGCCGGCGAAGGGTTTGGCTACCCGCCGGGGAAGGCACGCAGCAGCAGAGGTTCGGCGAAGAACGAGCGAAGAGAGATTGGGGCTAGGGTTCGCAGCAGATACGAAGAGGAGTCCCACTATTTAGTATTCAAATAAATAAATAAATAAATAAAATGTAAAATTCAATTCATTATTAATAGATAATTGTTTACCTTTTTTATTTTAATAAGCGAGTTTCAATTTTATTCTTTAAAAATTTACAAAAAAAATATATATAAATTATTTGTAATTATTATAACATCAAAATAATCCAATTGTACTTATAAATAATTTAAATTTCAAGTAACTAGTTTTAGGAAACACTTTTTACAAGCTCTTAATATTTAATACTACATGTTGGTCAAAACATCTAATACTATTGTTGATACACGAATTTTGTCGACCTCAATCAAGACCATAAGACGAATACGACGTCATCATTACGAAATGATACTCCTCGAGCCTCGATACCAAGAAGCACCTCTGCCACGACAAAAGACGCATAAATTGAAGATTGCGCCTATACGCCGACCTCGTTCTCAATTACGGGATATACATGTCGACCTCTGCAAGAAGCAACACCTCCCCTCGTATTATGAAATTATTTATAAACTCACACTTTCCTTTGATGTTATTTCTGTCGCTGAAAGACTAACCTGCGGTTGCTTGTTGAGGAAGCAAAAATTTTATTGTATGAAATGTTTAAAGAAACAGCAATCGACTCGCAGGAAATTCGACGTCATTTTCTTCTTTTACTTTCGGGTCTTTTTTATTCCTATTATCCACATCTGACGACACAAATAGGCTCAAACTTTGATGACTAGGCCTTAAATGATAATCCTTACAAGAATGCTAAGATTACAATAAATATGAGACTGGATATGATGAACTCTATCACTGCCAATCCTTGAATCTCAAACTTATGTTTGTCAGACCACCGGTCCCGACACTCACATTCAATGTCTTGGGTTGGTGGTAAAAAATGAATGCACTTGTCCTATTCCATGTTTGATGGCCAAATAAAATTTTCTTGTCTGACCTCAACTGTGGCGGTCGAACAAGCATTTTATGAGGGAGGATTTGCACTGAACGCACATCAGTCGAGGTTGACGCCTCAAAACTTGGAAGCTCAAATAATGTTGAGTGATTAGAAGAAAGCCGAACGAAGGGAACAAACGACTATGCTAACCATCGAAGAGGATGACAAAGAGCCGAATAATTTTACTACGACTACGATCACTAGGTCGTTCAAGACACCATGTCATCTTCTTTCATCAAGATAAGTAAAGTAAGCAAACTACGAGGACTTTGATTCCCAAAGTAAAAGATACATAGACAACATAATTGACACATTATAAGTTAAAATATCATTTTTTTAACCTAAAATATTTCAAGGTAAATGATATTTTAACTTATAATGTCAACTAAACCCAAGTCATTTTTTCTTAAACTCCCCTCCTCCATTATTTAAAAATGTTGAAACTGTCGGCCAAAGCCGTTTTGGTCCCGAATAGGCCCATGACTAGGGCTGCAAACGAGCCGAGACGAGTCGAGCATTGGTCTTATCGAGCATGATTGATTTTTTTTGGGTTGCTCGAGCTCGTCGAGCTCGATTTTTCAGGCTCGAGCTCGACTTGATAAAAAAATACAAGAGCTCGAGTTCGGCTCGAGCTCGACTCGAACTCAAAATACTCGAGTTCGGTTCGAAAATTTTCAAGCAACTTTGTCAAATTACCATTAAGTACATTTATTAATACTATGATACATATATGTAAAAGGGGTATTTAGTAATTTACCATATATCTTGAGCCACTCGGTAATGTAAAATATAGGCTCGAGCTCGACTCGAGTTCGGTCAAACGAACTCGAGCCGAGTTTTAGCTTGAGCGGCTCGCGAGTCGCTCGATTCGTGTGCAACCCTACTCACGACCAGCTGGCCAGTTCTGAATCGAGAGCCACCGATTCTTTAAACCGAGACATATATATACCTGGGACGTTTTACAGTTAATATAAAATGCAAAAATGAACCGAGTTCCGTATTATAACCTGCCCACGGTCACGTCTAATCATGAGCATATTTGAAATCAGTGCTACTACCGTGTGCCTTGGCATACCTAGCAAGGTGTGCCTAGGCAGTTTAAAATGAATATGTTACTTTATAAAATGAATATGTGTAAACATGTTTACACATGTTCATTTTATAAAATAACATGTTCATTTTAAAAAAGTCTTGACACGTGCCAAAGCACATCTAAATATTTGCGTATTTGAAATACCCATATACTTTAGTCCTTACGACTTAACAAGTGAGTGTTGGTTAAAACAATTTTGGTTATAATCTGATAATATGTATGCTTTCAAGTTTCAACCCTAATACCCACCTCTACAACATTTCTTTCCCCTTTCTACAGCCTTCCACAATTTCATCCCGCCAGAACATAAGACCTTCGAAAAGAAACATACGACGTCGTTCAGAACAAACCCTCCTCATCTAAATATCCCTTTCGTCGGCCATTCACAACACCAGCTATGGCTGCTGCAGTTTCCTCTTCCTCTACTTCAATCTTCGACTTCAAAAACTCCGGCCCGCCAGATGACACGGTTTTCTACTCCATCTTCTCGGACTCTTCCCTCACCTCATCATCCTCCACCGCCGAGCTCCAGTCGCTCCACCTCCGAATCCTCCACCACATCGCACCGTTCACCGGCCCGTACATCTGGCAGCACCAACCATTCTCTCTCTCCATCGCCCCAACTCCCGTGCCTCACCTCGCCGGCCACCTCCGTTTCGGTGACAACCTAGAGGACGAGTGGTTCGCCGTCTTCCTCCTCTTCGAAATCTCCAAGGCCTTCCGCGAACTCTCCATCCGCGTCTGGGATTCGGACGGCGAGTTCCTCCTGATTGAGTCCGCCTTCCACCTCCCGAAATGGCTGGACCCGGACACCTCCGCCAATCGGGTCTTCATTCGCCGTGGTCTCCTCCACATCATCCCGAGATCGAGTTTTCGCTCGACACCAAATTTGGAAGATGCTCTGCGATTTCTAGCCAACTCAGGGGATGATTTGGTTACGCGGGCCCCGGATGCCGTTCAGCTGCAATTGAGTAGGAAAATTGGCGAGTATCCCGACCGTGCTTACAAGAACGTGCACAGGGTTAGGGTTAGGTTGCCGGTTTCAGTGGCGTGGGTGTTGCGGCATGAGCCGAGCTTGATTTCGTTGGCGGTCGAGGGGTTTTATGACAGAGATATCGACACTATGAAGTACGCGGCTAAAATGGAGAAGTTTTTGTCCAACGGGAAAGGAGAGGAGATGGTGGAGGTGGTGGTGAGGATGTCGAGGGCGATGTACGCACAGCTGATGCAGCAAAAGTTTCTGGCTCCGAGTTGCTTCCCCATGCCGGATAGGAGCAATGTAGGAAAGTATATGGAGGCAGAATTGGGGATGAAGATTACTTGTGGTTTTGAGATGATGTATCAATTGAGAAAAAAGAAAGGGGATGAAGGGAAGGGGAGTACGTGGGAAGCTTTCATGGGGAGCTTGGAGAGTAATGGTTATTTTGAGGGGTTGTTGCCAGGGTCTATGGAGTACAAGAGGTTGATGGAGAATGCTGAGGGGTACTACCGGAATAGTTCGCTGTACATTAGGGCCAGGTACTTGGTTTTTATAAGCTTTTGGTTATTGCTTTGGAACTGTGGTTGTGTTTCTGATTGATTGCTGTGTTTCTGACTGTTTATTGTAGTTGGATTCTAGTTTGATGTGTTGATTCTTTGTACATAGATATTCTAATAAATATTGGTTTATCAACGAGGGATTGATCTATAAAGTCTAGGATTGCATTTATATTGGACCTGATTAAGTTCTTGGAAATATCGTATCTTGGTAGTCTCAAAATGGTTTTTTCTTTCTTTTTTTTTGGTTTCCGTTCTTTAGGCGCACTGAATGCTTTTCCGGTTTTATTCTTGTGCTAATTTAATGGATCTTACGTTTAGTGCCGATGTTATGCATGCAGAAATTTCTAGCTGTGCACCTATTCAAAGATCCATCTTCTGCAGTTAATTGTTACTTCTATATTTACTGTACTGTTGTTCACATAAAAGTCATACCTGGGACTCTTGTGGTGACATTCTTCTTTTCTTACAGAGAAGTATTAAGTGCACCCATTAGACGCATAGATGAAGTTCTCGCACTTCCTCATTCAGCTGATGATTTCCAGAATCATGAGCTACCTCCATCAGATGATGATTCATGGCTGTATGGTGGTGAAGATGAATTCAATGCTGCTCTTCAGGATAGGCAAAAGGAGATGGAAATTTACAATTTGGAACAAAAGAAGAAAAACAAGGGAAAAGAGCAGCAGGAGGAAGGTGCTTCAGCATCTGGCAAGGATTTTGACGAGTATGATCTTGGGGGGATCGCTAAATCCATGAAGGCATTTGTTAAGAAAATCTCCAGTTATGAAGGAGCTGAGGTTCCAAATGACAGGTTCATCATTCCCCTTTCTATTGCGTTCGTCCTTCCGCTTGTTCTTGCATTTTTTATGTGTTGAATATCTTTAATATCTAAGATGGAAATTAGGGCCCTATTATGTTTCGTTCTGTTTTACCTCATAAAAATTTTCATTTGTGTGCTATTTGGTGCAGCTGGTGCAGGAGCTTTCATGTTCCCTGCTTTTTTCTTTTTTCTTTTATGTAAGTTAGGATAGATCCATGATTGACTAACTGCTCTTAATTGAATGCCACATATTCTTTTTTCTCTTCAGAGGCTCGGATGCCTCTTCTTATGAGTTAGGGAAGATTACTCTTGCTGTGTTGCAACTTGCAATAGTGTGTCCTTTTATTTTATGATGTCTAAATGTAGATGCTCGGCAGCTTTTGAAAAGTGCATATTACTGAATATTATTTGCTATTGGTTGTGTGAAGGATTATATGTCAATTATATAACATATGTCTTCATCTATTTATCCAAGTTCTATTCTTTTCTATTTTCAGCAACATGAAAGACGTGGAGTTTGATGTGGATCAATTTATGAAAGACATGGAAACTGTAATGGGGCAGCGTGGCTCTGAAGATAATGACAGTGATCTTGATGTTAATGTTGATGAAGGATTATCTTCAGACCTTGATTTTGGTAAACTTTTGAATACTGCTTTGTGTTGAATCTGAATAAGTCCGATTTCTAAAGCTGTATGCTAGTAACTATACAACAGTACTTATTATATTACAAGAGCTTGTAAGTTTATGATTATGCTGATACTGTTTTTCTGCTGCAGGTATATTTAGATTCAGAGATAAAACTCTGAAAATCATTGTTTAATTTGTTTTCACCGAGAAAAGAAGGAAATATTTGTATGACAAAATTCAGTACTCAAACATGTGATGACTCGCACATGTCACTGTTGTATTTGTCAATAGGATATTATTGCTTAGTACGCAAATAGGATTGATGTTTTATACTCAAGGTTGTGCTTGGCGCACATCCCTTTGTTTTAGACAGTTCACATTGCGAGAGTTTCTTTAGTTTCCAAAATGTGCTTGTGTCCAATGTGTATGATACCTTATATATATTTACACACAAAAACTTGCAGATGACTATGAGGATGAGAGTGAGCATTCAGAGGATAATGAAGAGGGAGGAGATGAGTTCATGCGTTCCTATTCCGATGTTCTAAACAAGGAATTGAAAGCTACCACACTTGATAAGACCTTTGTTCATGCTCAAGACCAATCTTCTAAGAAGAATGACGAGGCAAGTAAATTATACTGACAGAACAGCATTACAGCTAGGATTCATATCCAATTTTCCGTACTAATTTAAACCTATCGCCTTGCGATTTTACCATTTCATTGAGCATAGAAGCTATAACATATGCATTAGTAAAGAAAGTATTAGTTTATACAAGCAAATTCACAAATGGTTACCGAAAGAATTTATAGCTATTTTTTTGTTTTTTTTTTTTTTTTTTGGGTTAAATGAAAAGTAACTTTTGGCTAAATCTACACAACAAATGCAGGGAACTTCAACTGGTAATGATGACATGGATGAGTTCACCCCAGTGGATGTCGATATGAACTTGGTAAAAAATTTCCTCGATTCTTATTCTTCTCAAGAAGGATTGTCTGGCCCTGCTTCCAATCTTCTAGGACTCATGGGTTTAAGGTTGCCTGATGATGCTGGCAAAGGCAAATGATAGTCTGTTCTTCACTTCAGTATACGATCTTCAATTTCTGAAACACTGTTTATGAAATACAGCAGGTAACTGTTAGAATGTACGAGCTACTTGCTATTCAGGTTGTCACAGGCATTAAGCTTTGTTGGGCAAGGAGCATGTGAGAATTGGTATTTATTTCTGGTTAGGGATTATGACAATGGCTATTCATAAAACAAACGGCAACTGATAGTGAGTTGAAATTACAAGTAGCGAATGAGTGCTTGTGTTGGGGCGATTACAATGTCAAATTATCTTTTTGGGGAATGTTTGAAAGTTTTCATTTGTAGACAACAACAATATTAGACATTGATGTTCGCTTTGAGATTACGGTGGCAACTAATGGGTTTTGTACGTCGGGTAACACCGACAAAAATGATATAAGAATTCTTCTATGAGAACCAAATGAGATCAGTAGAATAAAAATTTGACAGGCTAAATAAATCTAATAAAAGAGAAGTGGTAGAACATAAAGTTACGTGCATAGAGTACTTTTACATTACATTAAGTGTAATATTTACACATGTGACCCAATATAAGTGCATTTTTGTAACAGAATTATTCACTTTTGGCAAATGCACAAACCCTATTTTTCTTTAATCGTCTCTCTTTGTTAGGTTGTTTGAGTTCAAAGCTCAAAAGCATGGAAAATTGGCTGAGTACAAATTGGTTGCTTCATTTATATTATATAAGTTGTATTATTATTATTATTATTATTATTATTATTTTTATTTTTTTATTTTTTTATTTTTTTTTTAAAGTTCACATGCTTTTGTGTCAACCGAAACACATTCGGATAAAAAATAAAAGGTAAAATATTTTTTCTCATCCAAACTATCACGGTTTTTGCGCATAACCATATAAACTATTTTTTTTTTTTTTACAAACAACCATATGAATTATACGGGCTTGTCAATGGCCCCTAAACTAGATATAAAAGTGGTTTTGACTGAAAAAGTTGTTTGGTCACCATATGTGCCCCCTAAATACTTTTACAAACCACCATATGAACTATTACGGGTTTGTCAATGTGTCCTATAAACCACTTTGATATCCTGTTTAGGGGGCTCATTGACAAACCCGTATAGTTCATATGGTGGTTTGTAAAAAAAAAAATAGTTTATATGGCGATGCGCCAAAACCGTGATAGTTCGGATGGGAAAAAATATTTTACCCAAAAATAAATTACTAAAGTGCAATATGCTTGTGAAACTCTTAACTAATACTAGATTATCCGCCCATACGACGCACAAATTGCGGTACAATAATTAAAATATTGTATTATTAAATAATATTTTGTTATATTTTCATAATAACAATTTGATATTTTTTTCTTTTATTGTTTTATAATCTATTAATTACTTCTACACTTTAATTTATGAAATTATATATTGTTAACTTTTATTTTTATTTTGAGCAAATAATACGCCTATGATTTAATCAGCGATTCATTAGTTCTTCATTTTAATGTCATGTAATTGGTGTTTGAGATAGTTGTTCATCTTTTCTGTCATATTTATATTTATTTTCAACATAATGTTTTTCAAACTAATGCGGAAAAAATGCACGAAGGTATTTCACGTTAAAGAATTTGTTAAGAAAATAACTTGACACACATTTTTTATTTATCTTTTCATTGTGTTACCCGCTATGAGACAATGCGTTAGTGCAAATAGAATTATTCCACATTTATGTAAGTCTTTGTGTACGTGTCTTCAAATTTTATTGAATTTTACTTGAAACATTTGTTCAACTAGCTGTCTTCAAACTTCCAAAATGAATAATTTTTTGAGTTTCATAGGCACGATTGGATCCAACCAATTTTAACCAATTTTGTTTGGTTAAAATGAGCAAAGTAAGTTAATTTTAATAAAGTATAACGAGTAGGTGATTTTGAGTTTGAAATGAAATAATATTTAAAATGTAATGATTAAAATTTATGTGATGTAAAAGTAGGACAAAGATTATCAAAAGTGATATGAAGTTAAAGTTATGTTAGTAGATGAATAGTAAATTAATGTTAATGTGACGTGTGAGAATTGTTGTTTATATTTATAAATACTAGGAGAGTTTAGAGCATCCACAATGCATTGAGTCTAATTTTACATATGTGGCATATAATTAGACTTAAGTCCTAAATGACATGGACAAACTCAAGTAAAAAAACTTGAAAGCTATTCAATGAAAAATAAAATATTAGGTCT